TTAGATAGCTGCAAGGGAAAAAAAATTCTGTTATTACTCTGAGAAACAATTTTGTTTATACACACGTCAATTACTTCCTCTCGACTAACATCTATTGCATATTATCTTGTTTATCAGCTCTGGTGTTTATTGTACGTCATGACCACTTTCAAAATTTAATTAAGTTACTTTACTATCAACACATATCAATAATTTTGGCATCAATATACAGTTTATAGTTCAGATTTTAATATATTTTAGCTACTTAATTTCAAAAGAGAATATTAAAATAAATGCTCAATTTTCACTTTCTATATCATGTAACACTTCTTCAGTCCAAACTGTCCATTTCTAGATTTTGTGCTACCATATATGACCTTGTAAATGTCCATTTCTAGATTTTGTGCTACCATATATGACCTTGTAAATGTCCATTTCTAGATTTCGTGCTACCATTATGACCTTGTAAATTTCCAAGGAACTTCCCACTTATACTCCACATATCCCTGAGCTGAAATCTTAACTTGTACCAAGAAAGCTTTTTGCTTGACAGTGACATAAGCAATAAAGTGAAAGACACATGCCACTCCCTCACAGAGCACACTGCTTTCAAAAAATCATCATAAAATCTCACCAACATGTATTATTTGTAACCAACAAAAAGCAAACATTTCATTTAACTGACAACTATAGGGTCAAAAGGGCTTTGGACTAAGCAAATTAGAACATTTTGGCAATTTTTTCTTGGTATTCCATTGTTGAAACTTGCTTGTCCAGATATTGGAATTATTCCAAGCCATTTCTATCTTAGTTAGAAAGCCAGATAAATTATATTAGTTTTAGGACAATCAATTTTACACGCATGGAAATATTTTACTTTCTAAATTGTATATTTGAATTTAAAAAAAAGATTTATGAGACCACATTATTGTTACATTGAATTATGGGTAAGCTTTGATGCTGAGTTGAATAATATGAGTGCAAAATTTTGGATAACTTTTCAAAGGTATACAAGGTATACAATTTTTATTTATTATTAAAAAAGTAACTAAAATGTAAAAAGTCAAGATTTATTATAAGTAAATTTAAAAGAAATAAAAACAAAATACTCATGATCAATGGTAGCACACAGCAAATGTGAGCTCATTTATGTAATTCAATACAAGCATTCTGTAACTGGATCCACTATTCCCTTAAAATTGTCAAGCATAATAAATATTTATTACTACCATAGTTTTAGAGGATCAAAGTTGAACTGTAAACAAAAAAACTAAATGCAAAAATCTATTAACTTAGGATGTAGAAATAAATAGTGTGTAATTGTCTGTTACAACATGCAGATAATGTAGAACGAAGAACAATGTAATTTAGATTTATTTCATATTTTTTTGTGATAGATATGAGGCTAGTTAAATTGAGTCTGTATAATGTTAAGGTAGAGAAAATAAATAAAATATGATGTTTTAGAGAAAACAACTTCTGATAAACATGTAGGAAGTTCTAAAGGTTATTCAAATGAAATTTGAAACTATATGATGAAAAAGTTTTTTTAATCTTAATAGGAAAATCACCTTGCCCTCAGGCTAAGCAGAGTCTGATTCAAGCTCGAAGTTCATAAATTCATAGACAAATCTTTAGTGAAAATACGCAAAGAAGAAATCAGATGTTTTGTGAAACTGAAACTAAAAGCTTGCCAAATTTTGTGAAGACACATCAACTAAGTTAAAAGTTAAAGCATGAATACTTTCATGATTATTTGTTGGTTACACAGCCAAAGTGAATCATTTTGACTGACCATATATTGATAGGATTAAACTATAGTAGCTTTGGGACATTTAATTCTGTTTTCTAAAATGCACATTTGAAAGTTACGTGAATTTTTGCTCATACAACAAACCTATAGCAAAACTAGGCCTATTTCACTACACATTTGAGTGTATATTTCATGTTGTGCAGTATATATTGGTGTATCATAATATGCTAATATGTTCCTGCTATAATGTATTGCTTTTCAAGATAAATAAACTGCTTACATGGTACAAGCTAGGCAAGAAAATCATAAAATTAAAGGAAAACATACGTGAAAAAGTTAACATTTGAAATTGAGAATATTACTAATTGAAGATGTGGCAACAAGTGATGTATTCAAAGAAAAAAATACAAATATCATTAATTTTCAACTTTTCATTTCAATGTATAGTGATGACTTAGCTACAGTTAGTGTAATGGTAGAGAAAGTAACAGGTAAAATATAAAGACTGCCACTGATCTCAAGCATGAGATAAACGGCCATGCACCAAGTGACAGAAAAGTGTGCAGATCTACAGTATCAAGAAGACTCAATGAGAAGACTCAGCTAAAAAACCTTTACTTTGATCTCCAAATATCGTCAAGAAACTGAAATCTGCTAAAAAGTAGAAAAAACTGGACTATTGATAATTGGAAAAGTGTTATAGACGAATGAGTCCAAGTTTGAAATATTTGGTTCAAAGTGTAAGCTGTACATCCGGCAGAAGAAAGGTGAAAGATACTTACCCCAGTGCAAAGCACCCTGCAGAAGAACAGCGAAAGATTCTTCCCTCAGTGCATAGCATCCAGCAGAAGAAAGGTGAAAGATACTTACCTCAGTGCATAGCACCCAGCATGAAGCATGGAGGAGGCAGTGTGATAGTTTGGGAGCATGGTTCTGCTGAGGTGACAGGAGATATTTCCAAAATAGATGGAATAATGGACCAACGCAAGTACCATCATGGTATACCCAGTGGTTTGTGTATTATTGGTAAATAGATGGAATAATGGACTAGTTCAAGTACCATCAGATACTGATCCATCATGATATACCCAGTGGTTTGTGTATTATTGGTAAATAGATGGAATAATGGACCAGCGCAAGTACCATCAGATACTGATCAATCATGATATACTCAGTGGTTTGTGTATTATTGGTAAATAGATGGAATAATGGACTAGTTCAAGTACCATCAGATAGTGATCCATCATGGTATACCCAGTGGTTTGTGTATTATTGGTAAAGGATTCTACTACCAAGAAGATAACGACCCCAAACACTCATCCAAACTATACAGAAATTACTTAGCTAAGAAAGAAGCTGCTGAAGTCATTCAAATGATGCAATGGCCCCCACAGAACTCCGATCTCAACCCAACTGAACAGATCTGGGATTTGATAGATCAAAAACTTGACACATCAAAAGTTACTTCCAAAAAAACTTTATGGGAATGTATTATGAGACATTTGGAGTAAAATCCCAAAGAACACTTTGATTAAATATGTTCCAACAATGCCTGAAAGACATTATTAAAGTTATTAAATCAAAAGTGACACACACAAAATATTAACTGTTTTCTGAACTCAAGCACTTCCACCGAGTTCCGAACTCAAGCACTTCCACTGAATTTCTGTTGTACTAAATATGAAGATAAATAAAATTTTAATATTTCACCTGTGATTACCTTCCATTGTTCTTTCACAGCAGCCTCAAATCTAATTTTTGACTTTGTTCTAACACTTTTGCAAAGTACTGTAAGTAAATCATAAAATAACACAATATCCACAGTAAACAGAACAGTCAGAAGTATTGTTATTGTATAAATATCAAGACTTCTGACTGTTTGTTCCATGTTGTTTTTTTGGTTTTCTAAATAAATAAAAGTATGTATGTACATCATATATATATATATATACATACATATACATTCAACGCTTTATTATCCAGCACTTTTCAATCTATTGTAATAGGAAATTTCAATATCTTCAAAACTAGCATTCATAACAATACCATCTGGAATGTCTTGGAATGCTCTCAAAGCTTCTTGAAAGTTCACAACTGTAGTTAACTAATGCTGCTGCTTAGTGGCACTACTGTAGCTTTGTTTACTCATTGTACTTATAAATGTTTTTATACAGTTTAAGGTTTTTTTACAGCATTTATTATTGTTTAAAACTGTTATTGACAGAGATAATGTACAAATACTGTACTTTAGAACATTAAAATGTATCAATATTTCCTGTAAAATATCATAAGGGAAATGCTTTTATAACCAGAATGTTTGCCTATCTAGCACTGCTTTAACTGTATATAGTTAAGTCTACAGGTAAATTAGTTTTAATTTAATCTAAAACCACATCCATTACTAAAATTAGTATTAGTACATTCCAAAATCAAGTGTACCACTATTGTTTGTATAAATTAAATTACAAGTAGTGTTTGTAATGTTACAAATTTAACACCTAATTGAAAAGACTGATATAACTTTAATTTTATTTTGTTTGGTTCTAAAAATAATTACACTTTGATCAAATACTTTTTAACAAAATTTACAAATTCAAGCACTTTTCAAGTGAAATATTGTGTAAGATATATTTACTCTTAAAGGTTTAACAAAATAAACTGTATATAATCTATGGGTTCAAACACAACAGAGTACAAATAAGCTAGAGATTTAAATATAACAGTATAAAATAGCACAATTTTTGTGGTCTATAGGTAGTAGCAGAACACAGTAAAAATAGACTATGTTTAGTCTAAAGTTGAAAAGAATATAGTACAAATAAATACAATCTGGATACAATGTACAGAACATGATAGCTATAACTACATCAACTGTTACACATATATATTCCTACCTTTGTAAATGAAAAGTGACAGCGGTGAAAGAAGTAACATAATACCCATTAAAGGTGATCGAACTCCTAATTTGTCCTATCAAATAAAAACGGAAGTTAATAAAAGTGTTGGAATAGAATAAAGTAATGACATAGCAGCTAAAAAAAACTGCAAACTAAACAATGCAAGATTTGGAAGAAGTGACAAAAACAATTTTGTAACAGCTACATAATTATATGTAAAGATAACAAAGCAAGATAATGAACAAGTTATTAAAACTGAATATGGTAACAGCAACTGAGTAATATGCGACTGACAAAGGATTATCAACAAATAAATAGAAAACAATAGTCAAAAGAAAAAAAAGTACTCACAGAAGCAAGACCTATTAAAACACCACCTGAAAAAAAGAAAGAGTTATACAGATACAATGGCTTAAAACTATACCTCATTGTAAAAAAATTCATGTTCAATCTCTCACAAATAAAAAAGGAATTTTAGTAAATATCACAAAATAAATAGAAACTAATTCGTTTTCTATGCAGTTCAACTACTAAAAGATGAGCTCAAACTGAACATTATTCGTTTTCACAGATATAAAATAATTTTGAAAAATTTTCATGAAAAAATTAATATTAAGTATCAGATATAAGCTAAAAAAAAAGGGCTAAGTCTGAAAAATAATATTACTTTGTTGATCCAGGATTCAGATTATGAAAATTAATTTTCACTCATACAGAAAAATAGATTTTCCTTATAAAATTTCTTATCCAGAATTTTAGAAACATCCCTCATTACTTCTTTCTTTTGATTTGAACATTATAACTAGCATATAAGGTGTCCTCATTTCTCTACTAAAGTTATAATGTATACAGTGTAACATAGTATGGTGTCCTTGTTTCTCTATTAAATACACTATAAGATAGTACGGCCTCTCTAGTGCTGATTTAATTATGACTTTATAAGATAGTACGGCCTCTCTAGTAGTGTATTTAATAGAGAAACAAGAACACATTACTTGTTACACTGTATTCATTATGATTTCAGTAAAGAAACAAGGACACCATACTATGTTACACTGTATACATTATGACTTTAGTGGAGAAACACAGTACTAAGAGGCATTAACTGAGCTCAATTCATATTTATAAAGTAGATAAAGTGAAAGCAGTTGGAATTCACAAAAAATTTATAATGTTTTCCTACTGATAATTTGATATATTTCTTTAAGTTAGGCTTACTTTACACTCGCTAAAGTGGTGTCACAATCTTATAGTACACTTCTAGAAGTCTTTTCAAAAGTAAACAGTCAGTAATGCACACATACATCTATCACACACTATTGAGTCCAGGCATATAACTTACTAATAACTATAGTAATGGACTTATGTGCAAGAAATCTATGTACAGTAATAAACTTTTAAATACACTAATATACCACATTTAATTTTTAAGGTAACTTTTAAGTTCACAAAAGAAACTTACACGTTAATATCAAACCCAATACAAGTTCAAAAGTCCCCCCCTTTTTTTAAGTTTACTTCAAATTAAAGTTAGAAATACCTAATGGTCTCTTCTTATTCTGCAATTAATTAACAAAAATTGGAAATTACAAATATTAGAACAATAAAAGAAAAAACAATTGTGTACTATGTTTCACATACTTAACAGTTTCAATATTTGATACTCTAACAAGTATATTTCTAAACATCATACTAAACTCATTAGCTATCATAAATAAATAGTGATACATTAATACACAATAAACATAAAACCTTTTAATAAATATCATTTAATTTAATAGTGTGAATAGTACTTAACCTATGATTCCTCCAACATCATACCACACGGAGAGACGATCTGCTACTGCTTCTTTCCAACCATACTTACTTTGGAGGTAATATGGGAGCCAAAAGAAGAAAGAATAGTTGACCAACTTCAAGCAAGCATAAGCTAAAGAGTACTGAAAAAACACGTAACAAGTGAAACATTTATTAATAAGTTAGTAAACAATGATTCCCAAGCATAATGAAATGATTTATTTTGGGTGTTTCGATAGAACATGTAGTATATTCTCCAACAAATATAATAATAAGTTGTTTGTTAATTTATAATTATATTAATATAATGTACTTCCTTATTCAAGTGAAATATTTACATTCTGTATCTTGTAGTGAATGTTGAGAGGGGATAGGAATGTAACTAAGAGTATTTTACACTTTATAACAAACAACTTTTGTTTCCAAAAATATATAATGTACATTTTGAAAATATTAAATATACTATACTCAAAGGGCTTAAGCAATATTTCTGGACAAGATTCACACGTAACATTGGTTTTTCTTGTTATAACTGTAGGGAATATATAGCTGTTTGCAGTATAACAGTTTGGTATAATATAACAAAGATGAACTTGGAATTGCAAGTAACAGTTGAATATGTAAACACATATAGATTGCTACATTAGCTTTTACTTACAGGTATTACTCCAGGAATGAAAAGAGCATGACAAAAACTTATAGCATCAGGTCTTAAAAGTAAAGGTATTTCATCAGAATCAGCACTCTCTGTAAATCCAGGATGATCAGGTCTAAGGAGTGGTTCTCGGTCTCCACTAAGAGCTTCATCCTCAGCAACATCTGGTAAACCTGGAAATGTGTACATTGGCATATCCATATATCTTTATATATCTGTATGCATTTCTTTTCAGAGAAAACATCACACCAGTTGCACTATTTTTAACATCTAAAGAAAACTGGGCATAATTCAGTATCTCCCTACCTTAAACGACTTTCAATTTGAAACAACTAGGCTAAAAACATCTGTTCTCACATATATAATAGGTGGCCACTTTATTAAAAACTACCTAATAACATTTGGACCATCTTTTGCCCAACTAACAAACATGGTAAGGCCTGGCATATAACCAACAAGGTGCTGGAAGATGTCTTGAAGGTTTTTCTCCATTCAGTCATTAATATTGTATATAATTCATGGAGCTAGGTAGGCAGAGGATAATAATAGCAAATGTGTCTTTCAGAGTTCATCTCACAGATATTCAACTGGTTTGTTGTGGCCATGAAAGATGCTTGTAGTGTCTGTCATCTTCCTCAAACCATTCACATGATATGGGCATGGTAAATGGAAGCATTATTATCTTGGAAGTACATAACCCCATTCGAGCACACACTTCACAAAAAACAGAGTGCTGAACTAAACTGTAGCATTCATTCTGCCTTTTAACTCTGTAGCAAAGGTGCCATTTTTAAACCTCTTTAACCCCTGATGTGCACCTTACTGAGTTACATTCAAAATTTAATTAAACCACTTTATTATAAATGTATGATATAACTTTAAATTAACTAAGTTTTATTCCTTTATTTTAAAAAGAAACATTTAAAACAGCAATCAAAACTGTAATTTTTGCTGTTATGTGATTTTCTCACAGTTACCATTTCTCAACTTTAAGAGCTGGTAGAAAAGAAACTGTGTGTTTGAAATGCAGACAGTTCCTGTACTTGGCCAAAGTACACAATACAGATGTTTTATATTAGTTTCTTAAGGTCTTTAGAAGACATTCTCCTCACAGTTAACCATTGTAAATGTTTCTTGAGTTTAAGATAAGTCACATCCACTTACAAAGTCAAAGCTGTGTTGCTGTGGGACAGTTTGAAATTGGCTGGCATATAAAAAGAATAGACTTTCCTCTTGAATCTTGGTAATATAACAGTAAGCGTAGGTGTATGACTTCATACTGAAATGGGATGAAATGTTCTCCATTGTTCTCTCGAGGTGTACCTAGCACTTGACAAGTGTTTCTCACCTTATATGTATTAGTTAGATAGACAATTAGATTGCATTTAGGTTTTACATTTATATTTTAATTTGTTATGTATTATTCGTGTTTTAAAATGCATATCTGAAAGGTTTGATGATTTTTATACGTTTAACTTGTTGTAACTTGTGAAAGTATACAAACAAGATGACATCATTCACATGTGTGAGTGTTAGTGAAAAATTCTGTTTACAGGAATCACCAGATAATAATAATAATAGAGCCGAGTGGGGACCAGTTGACATATCACAACAAATAATAAAAGACAAAGAATTGAAAATTAAAATTAAACTATTAGTGAAAAGATAAAGATGTGTAATTACACATATTAAAAAAAAAAAACAAGTTTCGAAAGACTTTTACAAACAGCTAACAGGTATGTACATACTTCAATTTTCTTAAATTTTAAACCCTTCATTGAACTGTATGCTGATGATAATAGCTAGAGATAGTGATATAGTAGAGAAAATGGAAAATATATAAATTTACCATTAAAAACTCTTGATATTCATTTAGGAGGTTCTAGAGATTATGCAAATTAAAAGTGAGAACTGTAAGATAATAAATAGTATTTTTATACTCAAAATGAAAATCACCTTGCAGGTGAACTATTACGAGCCCAAGTGCAAATAACCATATTAAATAATGAATTTTTATTAGAAATATTAAACAAATCAAAATTAAATATCTTATTTTTCTGAAATTACATATTTTTAGAAATGTTCAAAGCAATTTCATCCACTAATTTAATTTTTGTAAATAACTTTCACGAGTTATGTAACCTACTTCCAAAACTAGTAGGTTGTATTCATAGGGTTAAAGGAATGAAGGCTGTACCAATAAAACGTGCTTCAAACCTGTAACCTACTTCCAAAACTAGTAGGTTGTATTCATAGGGTTAAAGAAATGAAGGCTGTACCAATAAAACATGCTTCAAACCATGACTATACTACTAGAGGCCTGGACAATTGGGACCACACAAGAAAGGTGAGTTATTCTTGTGACTTTTTCTAAATTTGTCTTCTCCCACTTGTGCAAAAAAAAAGGCTATAACATGTTTTACTAGACCACACCACCTTTCAACATTCTTTATTACTTCAGTGTCTAAGTTCTTTACATAACTCAAGGCATTGTCTTCTTGTTGGTCAGTGAATACCATGGTTTATGCAATCATTCCCTTCTGCCATTTGTTACAATTTTCTTTGCAGGGTTCAGCTTGATATGTGTGTGGATTGTCCAGCACTGTCAGTTGGTGTATTGTTTCATGATGGTTGGACTTTCTTCTCTCCTCTTTCTATCATTACAAATTTTGACCACAATTCCAACTACAGCAAATATTTTATTCAACTTTTGCCATTGATGGTAAAGTCGGTTGACTGGTGTCTTAGAACAGCCTTCCAATGAAACTGTCTTGGTCACTGTGACATATGCTAGATGAGCAGCACCCATTATCATGACTCTTGTAAATGCTGCAATGTCTCTTCCTTCACCACATCTGTTAGACTGACTGCTAATGTGCTTGATCAAACTAATTTTTAAATCTGCAGCTCAGGTCAGGCCAAGTCTGAAAGGTCCCTAATAAAGTGGCTAGCCAGTGTATATGAACAGCCAAATAAAACTATGGTACAAATTGCAGTGATAGTGCATATTGTGGTGGAAGAGATATCTGTGGCAGTGGGATCTACATGGTGGATGGTATAACAGATATAATTTCTGTTCAGAAGTCTTAAATCTGGAATGAAAATAGAAATTAAATTTTACAGTAGATGTAGGTGGCCAAGCCCATAAACTCTCAATTTCAGGCTACCTTTCATAGTATTTGGTCAGCTGTGTAAAGGTATTGCTCCTAATGAAATTGAAAATAGATGAAATGCAAATAATTATTAAGATAAAACAGAAATAATACATAAAAACAAACAACTAGGTGTGGTTACTAAAACTTATGTAAGAAGTTGGAATTCTATAAAAACATTAAATTATAGATAAATACACACACTAAAAATTGAACTTGTGAAGTTACCACTACATATCCAGTAATGTAGTACAACACAAATTCATCTCTGACAAGTTGTGGTAGTTGAAATAACCGATAATTTCATCCTTCCATATATCTGTAGTAAAGACTACAATGATCAGCTTAGACCTCAATAAGAAATAAGCCTAACATGTTCTGTGTTTCCTTAATGTTGGTAAATAATATAAAAGTAATAACAAAATTTCTGAGAAAAATAAGGATGATGTAGGGATGGCAATGCCAAAAAAAACAGAAAAAAGGTAGGGATGAATACACAAAACCATACATAAGTAGCCAAATCTTTCAAAGAAAAACTTTTATCTACAACTAAATGTTGAATTCTTTTCATTTGCATGAATCCAGATTTGAATAAAAGCATTTGAACTGAATAATACTATAAAGTCTTACAATGGCTAATTCCCATAAGTCTGTAACATTGACTCAGTTGTGAGTTGTGATGAGTTGTCTTGATGGAATAATGTGTTAACGTTAATGAAACGGTATAATGCTTCTACACTCCCCAAGTTAAAATGCATGTTTTGGTGTGTAAATCATTGCAAAAACTTCAAGCATTGGTGAGCTAGCCCTTCTGATACCAGAATCAGAAGAATTAGCAGAACATTTGACTGTTACACTACTTGCCGGTTCTCTATGTTTACAATGTTTTTCTGCTAAACAGAAGGTTTTAATAGCTTTTGAAAACCTAAGTTAGGTGTTTATAAAAGTCTCTTAGATTGTTATAAAAGAGATTTAAGACTATAATGAGCCATGTTTTCTCGACCCATCCCTACATAATAAGCACTACTGTGCTTAGTGATAAAATCTGGTCCCAAGTTGAGATATTCAGAAGCATGTGATTTCTTACTAAGATAAAAATACCAAGTTATTTTAGAATTTATACCACATCACACAAAAAACACAATATTAACCCACTGTTTCCCTTGTGTTACTGAACAAATATCTCATAGTTGAGGCAAATGAGACACCTATAAAATATGTGACTCAGTATTACTTGTTTATAGTTTAAACACCACAAGTTAGAAAACCATTAAAAATCAATAGGCCTAAAATTTGTGATGAAAATATTTTCTCTCATTGTCCTGCCTCACTTACAATTCCTGTTATTGAATGAAAGAAATTTTTGGCAGTGACTTATGGGAGACAAAAGATAGAATGAAAGAAATTTTGGGCAGTGACTTATGGGAGACAAAAGATAGAATGAAAGAAATTTTGGGCAGTGACTTATGGGAGACAAAAGATAGAATGAAAGAAATTTTGGGCTTTTGTCTCCCATAAGTCACTGATAGAACAAAAGAAATATTGGGCAGTGACTTATGGGAGACAAAAGATAGAATGAAAGAAATTTTGGGCAGTGACTAATGGGAGACAAAAGATAGAACTAAAATATTACTTTTGCCCACCTCTGATTTTGAAATGGATAAATTAAAAGGAATGTGCAAAAAAAAATAATTACAATTTATGTGATTTTTATCACAGATTTTAAGCCTATGGTATACATATAGTTTTCAAGTAGTATTGACTTCAAAATGTTTTACTTGTAGAATCAAACAACTTCTGAGCTTTGAAGGATATTATTTTGTGTTTTATCTCAATACTATTTCTTTGTGAGGTAGTTGTAATTCACAACCATTGTGTTAACTTAGTTTGGTTGTTATGTTATAACAAATTGTATGTGAACTACATTAATATAATTCTGGATTTGTTTGTGAAATCAGGCATAATTTTATTTACTTATTACATTTAACTTATACTAGATGGACAGTTGGAGTTTTGATCAGACAGGTTAAGAAACTTTCCACACCAGTATGTTAAACCTCTAAGATTATAATGCAATAGCTGGGATTATTCTGTGTTTGTTTGTAGTTTCATTTTGTGATGATTCATTAAAGTTAAATTTTACTATGTATTCGTAATTTGTCAATTCATAATGTGTTTATATTCTGTTTTGCATGTTTATTTGGTTTAATATCTCAACATAAGTTATTCAATTATAAGGCATTGAGTTCATATAATTACTGGAATTTTTAAGTTTCACTCTGTAGTCTTTGTGTTAGTCACCTGAGTGAGATTATTACTATTTCTTATGACCTGTAGCTAACTTTCAATATGGTCAGTAAAGTTTAATTTTAATGTTCAGATTTGTAAAGACCCTAAAATAACAATGGGGTTATTACAGTTGAAATAACCGGCAACTTCTCCTTTCCTAACTGGTTTATAATATATTTGTAGTAAGGTGTATTCAAGTAAGTTTTCAAAATGTCTACGAAGGTGTTCTGCATGTAATTATGACTTCCCTGTAAATTATGTTATAAATTATAAACATGTGGTAATCCTTTTACTTAGGTAAAGGTTTCATACAGCAATGGCTATCTCATAAAGGTTTGACCACCTTGGTCTTGTGTCATGTCCATTCCCTGGGAAGGGGCAGTATTATCTCAAAGGGTGGCACAGATATTTGTGCAAGGTGGTACAAGTTGAGGATCAACTCCCTTGAATTTTGAATAGTATTTAAACCTATAGATTATTATATAATGCACTAGGACCCTCTCATCTAACTTGGAAGTGCAGTGTAACATAATTTTTCTGGTTCTGTGCAGATATGTTTAGAAATCCTTCTCTAACCTCAACAGCTAGATTGAGTATAAACTAATAAGAAGCCTGACAGCTTTGTTTTAATGACACTTCATTATTATGAACAAAAAATTTGTTTACTTGTGATTTGTTTTCTTGATTGTCCATGTTCAATTTATTTTCTAGATAACATTTCCTGAACCTGTATTTTTGTGGATACTTAAGACTATCCTGAACAAAAATGAATAGTGAAATTAGATTAAACCTGATAGTGAGTTCTTTTATTTCATTGATGCCTTTTTCAATAAGATAAATTTCCACCCGAGTTTTATCTGTTTACCTTACATAAATGAAGATAGTTGTTTTTAGCTTAAATAGCTGGATGGTAAACAAATATAAACTTATTAACAATGTTTTGATACAAGAAGTCCTCATAAAAGTAACAAAATGTGTGTGTGTATATATATACATGCAAATGATATCATTTCAGATGCAACAGTTAGCACAGAGGATCATACACAAAAGGTGCAATGAATTAAACAAAAAAGACCCAAGGTCAACATTCAGGTACATGATGTCAACATCTGCACCTATATCTTACATTGCACTCCCTTTATTTTCCTAATCGAAAGCTCTCAAGTTTAGGGTATTCTGATTTACTGAGGATATCATAATACTCATTCATACGTCTATCTACCTGATTTTAAGTCATCAAAATTTTAATTAACTTCTACTGTGCCTATTAATTTGATGAGAAATAATAGCTCTGACACATATTAAAACCTAATTGAGAATAAATTTATTATAACCATAGTTCCCACAGCATGGGTAGAATGAAGTTCCTTGACTTTTCCCAGACCAAAATATGTTATTCCCTGTTATCTTTTGATATATATATATATGCTTGTATCATTGAACTGTTACCTATAATAATATATGAAATTGTAAAACATTACTCATATATATGTTTAATACAAACAAGACAGACTGTATGTTAAATAGTCAGTTTACTTAAATGTCATTTTTGTTTCTTTATTAAAACATGCACAACACAGGGAGTTTATAGTTTGTTTATAATACTATATAAAATAATTTTCATTATGCTTATAAAACATATTTTGTCAATTAACTATTGTATTAGCAAAATGTGCTTCTTCACACAAGTATACTGACAGTGATACTGGATAATAATGTTACACCAACCGTATGTCAAGTTTTGTTCTTACATTTGTTTATTACATTAAATAAAATTACTATTAAGTAAAAACGTTTACTAAAAGTACTCACATTATTTTAATTCTGTTATGGCCTTTGGATTTAAACACTAACACATTACCTGCACTTGAACATACAAGCATTAAACACAGGAATTAATATCTCAATTTCAAGAGTATACTGTGGTTGCAAAGCTCATAGTTTCAAAACTACCAACAGCAATTTTGTCTAGCTGCACATGCTTAACTTTAGCATCAGTTTCATTCTTTTCTTTGTCTAGAATCTTGTTTGTTCCTTGACAAACATAGGTCTGCCAACCTTTATTAATCTGTTTAAATGAGAATTTTGAAACAATAAAATTTTGATGAGTGGTAAAGTGGTGCTAGCAAAAAAAAGTGGTCTCCTTCTAGAATGATCAGTAAAGTAAAATAGTGCACTTCTTGGATCAATACGGTGCCGAATTTGACCTGAATCAAGCTGGTCAACCAACCACAATGTGTTATAGAAAACTACTAATTTGATAAAAACATTACATTTTGTTTATAATGCATGCGAGTGTGAAAACAGACCCAAATGTTTGAGTCTCTCCCTCAATGGATAAGCGTTGGTAGAGCTACAAATTTTCTTAATATATTACTCAGATATGTGATGCATTAAATTATAGTTTACTAGGCTAACAGGATGTATTCAGTTAATAAAGTTCAACTATTTCTAAAAGATTCATGTGTAACAAATAAAGCCTTATTCTTGGAAACTCTTACATGCGACTTATTAGTTACCATCAACAGAACATTGTACATTTCAGATTTCCAAAACTTATTATATCTATTACTCTGCCATCCATATTCTGCTTTAAATGAGTTTTCTTTAACTGTCACTGGTAATATTTTGTCTCTCAGATATAAGCCTGTTAACAACCCCAGCCAAAGCTGTACTATGCATTTACTGAAATAAACTGTAAAATCAAAATAACTTATTTAAGTGAAATAGTCTATAGTAATTTGTTAAACACCTTTATATGTAGTAAAATGATTCTCCATGCCCTAAATAAACTGTAAAATCAAAATAACTTATTTAAGTGAAATAGTCTATAGTAATTTGTTAAACACTTTTATATGTAGTAAAATGATGCCCTAATTTTAAGATGATGAGATGAAGCCTTTTCCAAAATGCTTACACTCCATTTAGTCACGAACCTCACTACTGTTTATACCAGTAGGCAATTTTTGGGCACTAATGATGATTTACATTTTTGTCATCTGTGTTCTAAAAGCATCACTGGATTACCTGAAATTTACTGCCTTTTCCTAGTTTTTATCTGTACAATTAAATTTCCTGATGTTTTGTAGGCCAAAAGCACCATATATAAAATTCACAGACTTTTCCACTTTCCCTGACCCATGGGAATCATATATGTATCCAACTACTCTAAGAATTTAAGATTTACTGTGTTTCAGAAACCTACCTACATCCCGAGGAGAAGGAATAACACTGAAGTATACCACAATCCCCCAAGCAAACATCAGTAAAGCTGGCACCAAGAAAGCATACTATATTCAAAGACAAGTAACTTGAAATGAAAACCTAAAAGTAATATGCCAATCTATTTTCAGAAAAATGTTACATACTAATAAATTAACCTTGATAATAGCAAGTATACTAGATTCTAGCTGTTCAGTCTCAATCTTTCATAATGAAAGACAGATGTGTATGTATATGCACACATATACAGGGTGTCCCAGAAGTCTGGACCGATAGGGAAAAATACACATTGTATTCTTAAGTTATTTATTATTCAAACTGCATGCCATTAACACGTCAATTCTTGGTATACTGCACCATCAGGGTATTTTCTTTTCTGAAATATGTACAACTGACATTAGAAATGCATTTGGTACACTGTACAGGATATCCCAGAAGTCTGGACCCATAGGGAAAATAGACATTATATTCGTACAGTTAAAGTATATATACAAACATTACACCAAGAAGACTTTCCCACTTATTATTATATAAAATCATTTTAACATTTTTTTATCAATAAATTAACTGAACTTATAAAAGATGATATAATTAAAGATCTCAGCTGGTCAATTTAAATGTTTTGTTATCAAATGCAAGTTTTATATAATTTTTGTTTAAGGTGACAATAATGTTCATCCTTAGTTCAATAAACAAGCTTTATTTTTGTCAAAGTAAGATCGTGACTCTGATCCATAATTTCATACACAAATCTCTGTTATTAAAGGCAGATTGACACTTTTTGTTCACTGGGAAATCACTTAGAGATACTGTTATACAGTATATTGGCAGCCCACATCACACTGAGGTGGGTAGCATACTGCATTGATAGTGTTTATAGTTTACTGATAGTTCTTAATTTCTAATTTTATTAATTTAGAGTATCAAGTTGTAGCACTGGACCTTACTTTTAACATTTGGCACCAGCCAATTGGAATATTTCCCAGTGACTTTTAGAGCCAGTTTGCCCCTCTCTACCTCATATCCAATTTTTTGGTTGAAAGATAACAAAGACTTACTTCGTAACCAAAATGAAGAACAGAAGCAACAGTATAGGCACCTATTATATTTCCTATAGATGGTGAAGCTCCCCACAAACCAGTTACCAGTCCACGACTAGATGGGATAAAAAAATTGTTTATATAACAAGACATTCTTAAAAGTATTGGTGTAATTTTTTTAACAGAAAAACATCAGCAAATCTTGTAAAAAATAACAACTCAAAATGTATTGATGAACTAATTAGTAACAAAAAGACAGTTTATCTTCAGAATCCCTATGGTAAAGCAAGGTACGAAATACTAATACAAAAGGCATCAAAAACATATGTTAACACATTTGATAATTTTATATATTACTCTTACAAGAGCAAAAATTATCAGCTAATTTATAATGTTAAAGTGGAACCAATCATCTGAACAAAATTACATATAGAAACAATGACTTTAAATAAATGTATTTAAAGTTTGTTAGTGAAAAAACTGTTTGAATTTCAATTTCATTGTACTGGATACCAAGTCAATTTTGATATTTGTAAGTAAAGGTTTAATAATTTGGTCACTGTGACATATGCTAGATGAGCAGCACACATTATCATGACTTGGTCACTGTGCAGTTTAATAATTTGGAAGTTCCAAATGCTTCTACTTTCTTTAGTAAAGTCATATTGGGCTTAAAAGAGAGACAATGGCATGATAGATAACAAGAAATATTTGAAGTCAAATTTAAAAAGAATTTTATTCAAAACATCTAATGTGGACTTTCACATCATACAAACAACAAATCTGAACACCAACTTGTATGTTCATGTGCAATGCTCAATAATCACTTATGGACAAAAGAAAGAAGACACAGTCAATATATTGAATGTTCTTTGTGAGCTTTCAATCTACTTCTTTCAAGGAAAAAAGTCCTAGCATTCTTTGGATGACAAAAATATCCTTTGAAATTAAATGCAACTTTTGAAATAATATTCAATGATTATGTTAAAGCATCAAGTTTTAAGCACCAATAAGTAGATTCCTTAGGTGAGTTATCCAATTTAAAGTTTTCTTGTTTAACTGTTCCACATATAATAATGTATTTTAGTTATATATTTTCAAGTATTAGTTAGAAGTGTTTTCAAATTATAATGTCATTGAAGTTAATCTTTAAAGCATCAGTATCTGTAAACAGAGTATGTACACTTTAAACAATGTAAAATTCCATAACATTTTCATAATCTATTATTAAAACTTCCATGACTATTCAGAGACAGATACATGGAAAGTCATTAGACACCAGGTAACTTGGAAGTTAGCTACAACTATACTATTTCTTTAGTAAGCTCAACCCCTATTATACAACCAGGTAATTTGGAAGTTAGCTACAACTATACTATTTCTTTAGTAAGCTCAACCCCTATTATACAACAGGTAATTTGGAAGTTAGCTACAACTATACTATTTCTTTAGTATGCTCAACCCCTATTAGACACCAGGTAATTTGGAAGTTAGCTACAACTATACTATTTTTTTAGTAAGCTCAACCCCTATTAGACACCAGGTAATTTGGAAGTTAGCTACAACTATACTATTTCTTTAGTAAGCTCAACCCCTATTAGACACCATGTAATTTG